ACATGACTTAGTGATTGAACAACAGCAACAACAAAATGTGTCCTGTGGAACTGTAGCTAAACTTTAGATCTTCAATTTGGTTAGAAATTCCACTAATTTATTACCACAGAGCTTGACAGGATATTCTAAAATATCTTTCATAGATGCCTAAGGAAGGCAGCTTGGTTGATTTGAAAGGACATCCCTCTGCCTAAACTCTAGCTCCATGAAGAGTTGAAGCTCTATCTCAGTCTCAGAATCATCAAGTTTATGGTCAGCTGGAATATCTCCTTACCCTGAAACAGGATGGCAAACTTGGTACCTGTTTATCTCACCTGGGTTCTTGTCATTAGAAAGTGATTGGCACCTCAACACTCATGGCCCAGTGAGGAGAATGGGCCCCAGTGAGAACCAGAATGACCCTCTGAATTTTATCTTCTACTTGTCCTGCTTCAAGTTGAGCTGGGGGAGAACAAGAACTAGGAAGAAAGCTCATATGGCTGATATGGCTGATTGAGCTATTGTTCAGTCTTAACATTTCTTTGAAAATCAGCCTTTAAAGCTGAGGAAAACCCCCTCACCTTTGCTATCACCTACTTGTGTTTGTCTGGATCTGGTGGCTTGAGAGAAAAGGACTAAGTTTCCCTCCCACCCTGACTTTCCAAAGGCCTTTGAGGTTTCCTCCACCACTGGGGTGATTCATCACCTTGTGTCAGAATCTGAGTATGCATGTAGTACATATAGTCCACATGTAATACGGAGAAGGCAATGGCAACCCACTCCAGTACTCTTGCCTGGAAAATCCCATGGACGGAGGAGCCTGGTAAGCTGCAGTCTATGGGGCTGCGAAGAGTTGGACACGACTGAGTGACTTCACTTTCACTTTTCACTTTCATGCATTGGAGAGGGAAATGGCAACCCACTTCAGTGTTCTTGCCTGGAGAATCCCAGGGATGGTGGAGCCTGGTGGGCTGCCGTCTATGGGGTCACACAGAGTCGGACACAACTGAAGTGACTTAGCAGCAGCAGCAGCCACATGTAATATGTGATCTACAGGAAGTTCTCCAACAAGTGACTGAGAAGAAGGAAAGCTTGCTCTTACCACACATTCCTCCTTCTACCTATTCACAGAGGGGTTCTATGAAATTTCACTCATCTCAGGATACAAGGGCTAGACCAAGGAATCATCAGACCAGGAGATCAAATTTTGCTGAGGTTTCAGGAGATTTGTTGGCCACTCAGTTGCCTCCACCTCTGGAAAAGATGTATCCAGAGCAAGGAGCCAATATGACTTTAAGGCACGGTGTCTGGGATAACTTCAGTCTTTTCCCCCTCATCTTACAAAGCTCTTTTCAGGAGCCCCAGATATTTATTATATCATATACAGAAAACAGGTACCCCATTTGTACTCTAAGCAACAAGAAATGGTATCAAAATTGGAGGTCAGAGTGTTTTGTATAGATTCAAAAATACTACATTTTCTGAAAAATCCTACATTTTCTGAAAAATCCTCATTGAGAATTCAGTTGTCATCTCCTTTTGCTAACATTCAGGCAATTAGATATTAGTATGTGTTCATATACTTGCACAGAATATAATTATCAAGGTCTCTGAAGCAAGACAAATCAGCTGTTTGTCAGATGAATCACTTGGCAAGAGTTTTGGTTTCTCTTCTTTTAGTTTTTGCAACTGTTAGAGAATGAGATATATGTTGTGTTATATAAAGTAAATGTCTATAGAGCCTAGCATAGGACTTGGTATATGGAGTTTGTTCAATAAGGTAATGTTGAATTAAACTCTAGAAAGAGAGAATGTGCTAAGTAGGCTATATTGAATTAATCTGATACTTTCCTGTCAGCTGGGATTATGCAGGCCTCTGGGGAAAGCAGGAAGGTTTGGAAATCTAGAATGTCTTCCAGTATTAGTTTTGCTGTTACTATCAGAATCCCAAGTTCAATCATAATCTGGAGAGCTTTAGATACCCTGTAGGTTGTGGCTTATCTTTTCAGCTCACTTTTATGAAATGCCTCCAGAACAGACCAAAGTATATGTGTGGCTGAGTCCCTTGACTCTTCATCTGAAGCTTTCACAACATTGTTAATTGGCTATACCCCAATATAAAATGTTTTGGTGTTAAAAAATCAAAATAAAATTAAAGAATAGACCAAAGATACTTTGCCTAAGTTGTTATCCTTGTAGCCATAGATATACACTGGCCAATAGAAAGACAATTGAACTTGGGTTGAATAATATCTTCTATCCACCAATGGACTTCTCATTAGTTTGAAGCATTAAGGGCTTCATCCATAAACAGATCTGATCTTGTTCAGGGGATCTCATAAAGAAAAAACATGCATCTAAGATTCTAAGGTCCCTTCTAAAACACTGTCTTCTGTCAGTTTCTCCCTTTCAGTGGCTCTTTCCTTCCAGTTATTTACTTCAGTAAAATTTTAAGGCTGTATCACATGGATACAACAGCACAACCATGGAAGGCATCTGTTGACTGTGGTTTGTTGAGCCAACTGAATAGTATTATCCTGTTCGGATAAAAGAGGGTATAGGATCCACTGTGCTATAGTCCATTTGCAGTAGACATGGAGATGTGCCAATCAGATCCCTCTTCCAAAGAAAACTTTCTGCCAGCTACCGGAAAGGTGGGGGTCCCAGACAGCCTCCAGTAGTCAGCTTCTTTAGGTTCTGCATTAACTGCTGAGACCCAGTTCACCCAAGCTCACACCCTTCCTGGGAAAGCCTATGTCTGGAGACTGAGTGGGATATAGCCATTTGGGACCAATGATGGACACTGCCGATAGGTGATACTTTCTTGAAAGTTCCATCACCAGGTAGATTGAGCCTCTGTTGTACCTGCATTGCAATAAACATTTTCCTCTTTCCAATCCTGTTTCTAATCCTTTCATTCATAGATGTCAACCCCTAATAAACATTGCATACCCTAAACTTCATCTTAAATTTACTTCTGGAGAATCTAATTGGTGAACCCATTAATTCTAAATTCCCCATGGCCAATGTGGCTTTATATCCTCTGTCTTTTCATAATCATTTTTTTTAACCTTTCATAGTGTTTCCTATTAGAAAATGTCCAATCTAGAATTTACCAATTATGAGCAAAGTTAACAATAATATCTTTTGATGATAAGCTTTAGCTTCCTCTTTGAGTAAATGGAAATGCCACCCTACAGTGAGTTGTTGAAATAATTAAAAGCAGACAAATAAAATAATATATACAGTGTGGTATGTGGCAAAGAGATGTCTTTAGTTACCACTAGATTTAATCTTGTAAATCCAGTGGTCTGAGGTGCCTTGAAGTGAAGTGAAGTGAAAGTCACTCAGTCATGTCCGGCTCTTTACGACCCCATGGACTATACAGTCCGTGGAATGTGCCAGGCCGGAATACTGGAGTGGGTGGCAGGCAGATTCCTTACCAGCTGAGCCAGAAGGGAAGCCCAAATGTCGAAGCTTTCAGGCTCCTCTGTCCATAGAGTTACCCAAACCAGAATACTGGAGTGGGTATTCTCCTCTCCAGCGGAACTTCCCAACCCAGGGACTGAACCCAGATCTACCACATTTCAGGCAGAGTCTTTACTGTCTGAGCCAAAAGTTGCATATCCCTAATTTGGATGGGTTCATCATAAAACTTCTCTAAACCGTATAGTCTAAGAAATCCAAAATATGGTGCCACATGATATAAAAAGTCATCTCTAACTAGTCTGTTCACTATTTTATGATAACCATGGATCAGATATAAAAGGAAAAATCTCTTATTGCAAGATAATCAGAGGTAATTTATGCATTTAGTGCCGGTGTAATTAAAATTTTCACATTAAAAAAACTTTTGCAGCCCAATTAACATACAGCTCCTCCCTTTCCAACTAAATCAGTTTCTTCTACTGTAAACAGACTTAACTTTCTTAATATATCATTTCCTCTGCTACCATCATAGCTACTGATCAGTGGCCAAGACGTGACATGGAAAGAGCTCCAAGATGAGTTTTAGCAAGCTGAGGAGAAGCACAAGACCATATATGGAAGCACTGCTGAGGTGAACTGGCTTGGTTACTAACATAAGAGATTTTCTATTTGACTTACTTGGAGTTAACACAGAGCTTTGAGATTGTATTCAGGACAAACTGAACTATATGAAATTTTATGGCCTCCTGCTGTTTCCTTCTTTAAAACTATTCATACACTTCTATCAGACTCTGACTTGGTAAGTTCCCAACACACAGTATACTTAACTATAGAACAAATCACATTAGGTCTTAATGTGCTGCCAAGACTAGTTGGAGCCATATAGAATTAGAGATGTAGCTCCCAAGGTATATTCTAACAATTCATATTAAATAATTCCAAACTATGGTGCATCAGCCAAGAAAAATTATCCTTAGCCCTAGTAGAAATGGGTTTTTGATGTAAAAATATCAAGCAGAAGGTCAAAATTGTCTGACTGGATTTGATTTGCCTTTACAACTAAATACAGTCAGTCTTTCCCTTCTCAGAATTACCATTTCTATAAGGAAACTAAAGTAGCCAGAAGAAAAAAAAAATTGAGGAATGTTATAAGGTAGTAAAAATGAATGAATGATAGATGTATGTGAAAATACATGAATTAGTCTTAAACAATGTCAAGTGAAATAAAAGTGCTAGACTATGACAATTTTTAAAATTATCAATGAAATGTTTTCATATATAATGGCAACTTATCTTGGGGAAGCTAGATTCTATAGCTATGTTAATGATTCTATTTCATCCCATCAAAGTAATCTATTAGGGAATTCTAAAATCTTAGCATCATGGAAACATGTAGCCATCTGTATTATATTTCAGTGTGATTAATAGGGCTTCTTTAGCAGCTTCTTGAAGTTTGTCTAAAGCAGGGATATACCTGAATTGAATGGAGAATTTTCTTTTACCTTCAGTTCCAGCAGAAGGCCTTCTCAGAAAGAAGGGAAAGCCTGGATCTCAACCCTACTCACTGCCCAAGAGGATATATTTTCACATGATCTCATATTACGAAGAAATTTGAACATTGCTTGACTCTCCTGCATGTCTGCCACCAGAAAGTACTTCAGAAGGTAATATAAGTCAGAGCTGTGCACATTCTCTCACTCTCCACAGTCACATTTGATTGAAGGTGTATTGATTCCCTTAAGTAATTTCTAGAGAATCTCATGGACAGAGGAGCCTGGTGGACTACATCTTATTGGACTGCAAATAGTTGGACATGACTGAAATGACTTAGCTTGCATGCAATATGATGATTATTTTATCTCATGTTATTATTTAAAATTAAAAAAAAAGAAAAAAAAAGGTAATTTGATTTTTTGGCCATGCCACATGTGGGAATTTTAGTTCCCTGACTAAGAATCAAACCTGTACACCCTGCATTGGAAGTGTGGAGTCTTAACCATTGGATTGCCAGGGAAGCCCTCCACCTTATTTTCTTTTTTAGATTTTGTTGTTGTTGTTGTGTACTACTTTTAAAGTCTTCATTGAATTTGTTCCAATATTGCTTCTCTTTTATGTTTTTTTTTTTTTAACCACAAGGCATGTGGGATCTTACCTCCCTGACCAGGGATTGAACCTGCATCCCCTGCACTGGAAGGTGAAGTCTTAAACACTGGACCACCAGGGCAGTCCCTCTCAGTAATCTTCAGAAGCGTAGAAACTAGGTACTACTACCTCCATTTGGAAGAAGAGGCAATTGAGCTGTGAAGATTAACTTAAGCTATTTAATCTTGTGCAAAGCATGGAGCTAGAATTTCAACTCTGATTCCAAAACTCATTTCTTTTTAACTTTCTATTTTACATGGGAGTAGTTCTTTAATGATTTTGATAGTTTCCGGTGTACAGCAAAGTTATTCAGTTATACATTCTCCCATTTCGGTTGTTACGTAACACTGAGCAGAGTTCCCTGTGCTATATATAGTAGGTCCTTACTGGTTATCCATTTGAAATATAGCAGTGTGTGCATGTCCACCCAAACTGTCTAACTATCCCTTTTCCTACCCTTCCCTCCTGGTCACCATAGAACTCTTATTCTTGACCACCATACCCTACTGCTTCCAAAGGTTAGCCAATGATCATGCCAGTGATCCTGACAGCCATGTGAGCTTTAATGAGTTCCTGGTTGTTTTATTACTAAAAGAGCTGCGAAAAGCTCTAGGTTCTGATATACTTTCCTACTGGATAGCTCCCTAGAGAGAAGGGGGGAATTCTACATTGAATGAACTTTGAGGGATAGAACTCCTGCTTCTAGGAGAACAGTCTCTCTTCCTCCACATGAGGGAATTTACATTCCTTAATACCCTCTCATCCTCCTCTTTAGAGCATGCTACCTGCTTCACGTGGCTCCAAACAAGTGGCAAAGGAACTCTTTACAGAAAGAATAAGATATTCCACAGCAGCCTAAGGGTAAGTACAAAGCCTTGGCCATGGTACTTATTTTGAGGGAAAACCTCCAGGAAAGGGCCTAGTTCCTGTCTTTATAGTGGACCCAGCAATATCCACTGTACCTGAGGGGAATATTGATTACAGTCCCAGAAATAGGTCTGATCAACTATCATTCCTTCCCCTCATTCCAGTGTCTTCTGACATTTGTGTGGCAGGCCGCAAAGGTATATCATTCATCACCAGTGCACATGGGACAGACCCTCCTCAGTTCCTGGTATCCTAAGAGCAATAAAAGAAGCATGGAGTATGAAAAGGCAGCATTCCTATGTGCATGCTATAACACTCGGCTCTCCCCAGGTGACTCAAATGTTAGCTGTCTACCTGGAATAAAGCATTCAGGCAGGCTTGTAGAAAATATGGAAAAGGGTAATAGAACCTGGAATTATCTTTCCTTTAGCTTAAAATTATGTTAAGATACTCAAATGAAATTCTTAGTACTGTTATTTCTGATACAAAAGGTAAAAATAGTAAAAAGGCTTTAAAAAGAAAAAAATTACTTCACATAATGGTAGGTAGCACAATCTGGGTTTCCTTGGCACAAAATCAGAGAATGGTGGTCTTGGTGCTGAGTGGCATTGAGAGCTTACATAAGAGAATCTTACAAGTCAAAACAAAGGGTTTTCTACCAGAGTGCCACGTAGTTTCTGACTTTTCCCACCCAGGTAAATAAAGTTGTTTTATAGTGCAATATTGATGATGTCTCTTTGAGAAACTTCAAATAGATTTCTTGGATCACACGTCCTTCACAGTGTAGAGCTTTGTTCAGAAAATGTGCCTGTAGCTTATCTTTTGTCATATTTGTCAGATACTTCTTGCTATTTTGGTTTCTACGTCAAGCTTAAAGTTACAAATGTTATGGACACTTTTTCTTAGAGTATACCACCTCCTTCACTCGACTTTAAACCAGCAAGCAAAGGAGATCTTTAGGAAGAATACAAGGTATTTTCCAATCTATATAAACTGTGCATATGGACTTGAATAATAGCTCTTATTACTCAAATTGTATCATGGATTCTTGGCATGGCTTGTGGGATCTTAGTTCCCCCAATCAGGGATTGAACCTGGGCCTTGGACAGTGAAAGTGTGGAGTCCTAACCACTGGACTACCAGGGAATTCCCACAAATTGTATCACTGTTAATAGAGGCTCATGGGCACTACTTTCTTCGACAATGTGTCAGATGAGTGCTTATTTTTCAGGTACCCTTTAGATATTCTAGAGCTTATTTCTTCTTCTTTTTTTTTTTTTAGAGCTTATATCTTCATGTTCAATACTCTCGAAGCCCCTCCCAGAGACTTCCTTCTCCCAGAGGCAGGGTTTGACCTCCTGATGTTTATTTGGTTAACATCTCCTTGACTGTGAATAGTGATTAAGGAGGTTGCAATGTAAAGACAGTGAATCAATCATCTTCATCTTTGACCATATCTATTAGCCTTAAGAATGAGCCTAATAGGTTGGTCTCAGTTACGACCTGTGAACAAGCACAGAAAATAAGCATAGAATCAGTCACCAAGAGAAAAATAAATTGTCCATAGGGTCAGATATTCAAACTGACTGAAAAACAGAACTAATGAAGTCATACTCTCCACTCGAATTGGATTAGGTTGTATGGAACTTCATACATGGGCAAGTGGCATAGACATGTTGCAGTAAAAATTCTGAACACTGAGACCTAAAGCCAGAGGTGTTCCAGAAGTCCTGAGTAAACCCTACCATGAACATTTTGTTCCTCAGTCTGATAAGTTTGTTACAGTGATGTGAAGGCAGAAGTCTCAACAAACATCTGTATATAAAAGGTCCCAAGTTTCACATGTGCCTGCTAATCAACACCACTTGTCAGATGGTTCAGGAAATAGGCTATTTCAATGCAGACTATCATTTACGGAGGCACAGAAGTCAACAATATATTTCCCTATAAATGTCTCATGTGGAAAACTGGCAATTCTGGCTGTGGAACAGGGAGATGATGGGATCTTGCCGGAATTATTCTCAGCAGGCAGAATGGCCTATTTGCTTTGTTTTCTGAATGGCCCCAGAGAGGATCCTAATTGGGAGGCCATGCACCGATTTGTTCCAGTTTCTCATTTATTTCTCTGGCATTGTTTTTATATAAGTTTATTCCATAGAAGCAGCTTCTCTCACACATCAGCCAAGATCAGATAATCATGTTGGGCCAAAGGCAAGAAAGTAGTCAGTTATACTAAAACAGCCTCAAAGTAATTTAGAAGTTTACATCAGATTATGTTAAGAAAGTTAAAAACAGTCTCAGGCCTCCGAGATTGTTCCATTAAGCTATATAATACCCTTTACTAAGAAGCCAACCACAGTGCTTCTGAGGCATCACTGAACTGAGATGCCCTCACTGAAGGTTTAGTGTGCACACTTGTAGACGATCCCTCCTCCTCATAAGGTGCACATGTAGCTACTTGCAGGCTGCTAGGGGAGTAAGAGAGGGTATCAGAGACACCACCCCTCTGCTCCTTCTCTATAGGATCAAGATTTTGCATAAGAATACTTATAGATCATTTCTAGAATACTCATAGGTCCATATTTTTACCTTGCTTTTCTACCTTTTGTACCTATGGAATAGAGAAGCCATTTGCAATGCTGGTTTGTTTTGTCTCTTTCCCTGTCCATGATGCAAGCCTGCTCCAAATCTACAAATTAATGCTAATGGGTCATATACCAAATGATGTTCATCTACTAACTAAATGGATATTTTCAGGAGGTGGGGTGGAAACAAGGAAATCACTTGGAGAGAGAGTTAAGAAGACTTTCTAAGTACAACTGACAGCCCATCCAGCCTCCTGGTGGAGCGATACATTTTGGAAACCAGACGCTTTTAGGGATGCTTATCACAGAAAGTCCTTTATGTCAAGGAAATAAGACCTAGGCACCAAAAAGGAAGTTTCTCACAGTATATACCAGACAAGTTCAGTCTGTCCAATCTTGGGTGGTATTCCAGGGAAACTAACTGACTTGTCTCAGTCTCCATCTGTTCAGATGCTGAGGAGAGTGGGAAACATTAGGATATTTCACATACATGGAATCATGCAATATATGACTTTTTTTGTCTAACTTCTTTCATTTAGCATAATGTTTTTCAAGTTCATGTGGTAGCATGTTCAGCACTTCATCTGCTTTTATGACTAGCACTCCTTGTATGGATATACATCACATTGTTATCCCATTAGTAGTTGATGGCCATTTAGGTTGGGCNAGTTTTTAACAGTGACTTTAATATTTCTGGCATTTAATATTTTACATTTGCATTAGCTATGCACAAGATTTTCAATTTCTTCATATACTGAAACCACTCAGATTTTTCTTTCTTTTCTTTTTTATTAGTAGTCATCCTTGGAGGTATAAAGTGATATGCATGTATCCTATGGTAGTTTGATTTATATTTCCCAGGTGACTAATAGTGTGGAGTATCTTTTCATAGCCATTTGTATATCTTCTTTGGAGAAATGCCTGTTGAAGTTCTTTATCTATTTGTAATTGAGTAGTTTGTCTTGGACCCTAGGAAGCATTACTACAAATGAAGCTAGTGGAAGTGATGGAACTGCAACTATTTAAAATTCTAAAAGATGCTGCTATTAAAGTGCTGTATTTAATATACCAGCAAATTTGGAAAATTCAGCAGTGGCCACAGGACTAGAAAAGGTCAGATTTCATTCCAGTCCCAAAGAAGGACACTGGCAAAGAATGTTCAAACTACCACAAAACTGTGCTCTTCACAAGCTAGCAAGGTTTTGCTCAAAATGCTTCAAGTGACGCTTAAGCAATATGTAAACCAAGAACTTTGACATGTATCAGCTGGGTTTATAAAAGACACAAGAACCAGAGGTCATATTGCCAACATTTACTCAGTCATGGAGAAAGCAAGGGAATTCCAGAAACAAACATCTACTTCAGCTTCACTGAATACGCTAAAGCCTTTGACTGTGTGGATCACAACAAACTGTGGAAAATTCTTAAAGAGATGGGAGTACCAGACCACCTTACCTGTCTCCTGAGAAACCTATATGCAGGTCAAGAAGTAACTGTTAGAACCAGACATGAAACAATAGACTGGTTCAAAATTGAGAAAGGAATAAATATTGTCACCCTGCTTATTTAACTTCTATGCAGAGTACATCAATGGAAATGCTGGGCTGGATGAATCACAAGCAGAAATCAAGACTTCTAGGAGAAATATCAACAACCTCAGATATGCAGATGATAGCTCCATAATGGCAGAAAGTAAAGAGGAACTAAAGAACCTTTTGTTGAAGATGGAAGAGAAGAGTCAAAAAGCTGGCTTGAAATGAAACATTAAACAAACTAAGACCATGGCATCTGTTCCCATCACCTCATGAAAATAAATGGGGAAAAGTGGAAGCAGTGAAAGATTTTGTTTACTTGGGCTCCCAAATCACTGTGGATGGTAATTGCAGTCATGAAATTAAAAGATGCTTGCTTCTTGGAAGGAAGGCTATGACAAACATAAACAGCATATTAAAAAGCAGAGACATCACTTTGCTGACAATGGTCTGTATAGTCAAAGCTATGATTTTTCCAGTTTAGTTCAGTTGCTCTGCTGTGTCAGACCCTTTGCAAACCTCGTGGACTGCAGCATGCCAGGCATCCCTGTCCATCACCAACTCCCAGAGCTTACTCAAACTCATGTCCATTGAGTTGATGATGCAAATCCAACCATCTCATCCTCTGTTGTCCCCTTCTCCTCCTTCCTTAAATCTTTCCCAGCATCAGGATCTTTTCAAATGAGTCAGTTCTTCATATTAGGTGGCCAAAGTATTGGAGTTTCAGCTTCAGCATCAGTCCTTCCAATGAATATTCAGGACTGATTTTCTTTAGGATGGACTGGTTGGATCTCCTTGCAGTCCAAGGGACTCTCAAGAGTCTTCTCCAACACCACAGTTCAAAAGCATCAATTCTTCAGCACTCAGCTTTCTTTATAGTCCAANAGAGCTAAAGAGCCTCTTGATGAAAGTGAAAGAGGAGATTGAAAAAGTTTGCTTAAAACTCAACTTTCAAAAAATGAAGATCATGGCATCCAGTCCCATCACTTCATGATTTTTCCAGTAGTCACATACAAATGTGAGAGTTGGAACACAGAGAAGGCTGAGTGCTGAAGAACTGATACTCTTAAATTGTGGTTTTAGAGAAGACTCTTGTGAGTCCCTTGGACTGCAAGGAGATCAAACTACTCAGTAATAAAGGAAATCAACCCTGAGTATTCGTTGGAAGGATTGATGCTGAAGCTCCAATACTTTGACCAGCTGATGCAAAAAGCTGTCTCATTGGAAAAGACCCTACCTGATGCTGGGAAAGACTGAAAGCAAAAGAAGAAGGGGGTGTCAGAAGCTAAGATAGTTAGATAGCATCACTGACTCAATGGATATGAACTTAAGCAAACTCCAAGAGATAGTGGAGGACAGAGGAGCCTGGCATGCTACAGTCTATGGACTCTCAAAGAGTCAGACTGACTTAGCAATGAACAACAACAACAACATTAATCTTTATGTTTCTAATTGTAAAAGTTCTTTATATATTTCTTATACTAGAACTTATCAGATATATAATTTGCAAATATTTCCCCCCATTCTGTATGTTGTATTTTTACCTTCGTGATGGTATACTTTGATCCACAAACATTTTTAATTTTGGTGAAGTCCAATTTATTTACTCTTTTCTTGTTACTTGTACTTTTGGTATCATAACTAGGAATCCATTGTTGGTGGTTAAATGTTTGACAGACTTCACCAGTGATGCCATCTATCTTGGGCTTTTGCTGAAAAATATTTGATTATAGGCTCAACATTTTTGCTTATTATTAGCTTAATCATATTCTCTTATAATATTTTCCCCCATAAAGTCTGTAGTAATGCTTCCACATTCATTTCTGACTTTAGTAACTTGAGGCTTCTTTTTTTCTTGGTCAGTCTAGTTAAATGTTTTTCATTTTGTCATCTTTTCAGAGAAATAACTTTTGGGTTTGTTGGTTTTCCCTATTTTCTTTTTATTCTCTATTTTGTTTATCTGAATTCTAATCTTTGTGAGTCTCTTCTTTCTGCTAACTTTGCATTTAGTTGTTGTTGTTTACTTTATTATAGTTACTTAAGGTGTAAGGTTAGGTAATTGATTTAGATATTTTCTCCTTTTCTTTTTAACATAGGTTTACAGTAGTAAATTTCCCTCTTAATACTGCCTTTGTGTCATCCCTTAGGTTTTGGTATATTGTGATTTTTTTTTAATTGTTCATGAACAAAATGAGAAGTTCAACAGAGAAAGAAACCATAAAAAAAAAAAGGGGCAACCCGAGACTCTGTGGATGTGGAGTGTGCTGTGTCTATTTTAATCTCTCTCATATACACAAAAATATCAGAGAACTTCAAAAACAGACACAATGTAGCAGAAGACAGACTCAATATGGCAGAAGAAACAATTAGCAAACTTGAAGACAAGTCATTCTACACTGTACTCTCAGAGAAACAAGAAAAAAAGGTATTTAAAGAGTGAAGAAAACCTACAGAATTTATGAGATTAAACATTAAACAAAACAGTACACACATTTGGGAGCAAGAAGCAGAGAGGGAGAGACAGAGAAACAAATATTAAAGAATAACAGCTGAAAATCCCTCCAAATATGGGGAGGGAAATAGACACAGAGATTTGTGAAACCTAAAGAATCCAACCAACTAAAGCCAAAAGAAATTACCATCAAGATGCATTAAATTATCAAATGTCAATGGCAAAAAGAATTCTTAAAACAGCAAGTGAAACATAACTCATCACATAAAAGGGAACTCTCATAGGATTATTAAGCAGATTTCTTGGAAGAAACCATATATGTCAAGAAAGACTGGAATGATATTTTCAGAGTGTTGAAAAAAAAAATCTACAAACCAATAAATACTATACCTATATAAACTGTCCTCCAGAAATGGAGAGTTAGAAAACTTTCCCAGACAGACAAAAACTAAGGAAATGTATAATCACTAGATCTGTCTTAGAAAGGTGTTAAAGGGGACTTCCCTGGTGGTCCAGTGGTAAGAGTCTACCTGCTAATGCAGGAAACATGGGTCCAAACCTTGACTGGGGAAGATGCCACATGCCACGGGATGACTAAACCCATGAATCACAAGTACTGAAGCCTGTGCACCCTAGAGCCCATGCTCCACAACAAGAGACACCATCACAGTGAGAAGCCCATGCACCAGAACCAGAATAGACCAGAACAGACCCTACTCACTGCAACTGGAGAAAACCCTTTACACAGCAATGAAGACTCAGTGTGGTGAAAAATAATAAATAGATAAAAATAGCACTTTGTAGCTAAAATGTCTGTTTAACAGGGAACTGGTTGAATAAATCACAGTACATCATACAATGGAATCACTACTGAAAAAGTATGAAGATGCTCTATATATGTTAATAATGCATACATCTCCAAGGCAGAATATGTAGTATTATGAAAAGAAAAGTGCTAAGAGGAGTTTTTCAAGTTGAAATAAAAGTATTCTAAGTAATACAAGGTTATATAAAAATATACTTCTCACCAATAAAGATAAAACTAGAGACAAACAGAAAACAATGTAATACTGTAATAATAGTATATAAATCACTTTTAACCCTAGTATAAAAGATAAAAAAGTTTTAAGAATAATTATAACCACAAAATTTGTAACTGGATGCACAATTTAAAAATAGTTAAAATTTGACACTAATAACATAAAGTTTATGTGGAGTGAGGAGAATAAAAGTGTAGAGATTTTGCTTAAAATTGAAGTTAAGTTGCTACCAGTTTAAAATAGACTGTTATAAGGAATTTTAATCAACTCTCATGATAACCACAAAGAAAAAATATGATAGATACCTGAAGATAAAGACAAAAGAATCAAAGTATATCACTACAAAAATCATCGATTTATGTAGGAATATAACAAGATGGGACAAGAGGAACAAAAGAACTATGAAACAGACAGAAAAAAAATGAACAAAATGGCAATAGTAAATTCTTACCTGTCAATAATTACTTCACATGTAAATGGATTTAACCCACCAGTCAAAATATATAAAGTGNTATGAACAATTATACACTAACAAATTGACAACCTAAAAGAAATGGATAAATTCCTGGAAATATAT